ACAGACTTTTTTCTGAAGGATAAAAATTCAATCAGCTGGTGATAGACAGAATTCCAACTGGTTCAGGGCTCCTCCTCTTCACTTCTCTGCCTGTTAGACTTGACCCTTTTTATTTTATTTTGTTGTTGTTGCTAATCCTCACCTGATATTTCCTCCATTGAGTTTTAGTGAGAGAGGAAGGAAGGAGGAGAGACAAAAACATCCATGTGAAAGAGACACGTGGATTGGTTGCCTCCTGCGCACGCCCTGGCCAGGGATTGAGCCTGCAACTGAGGTACATGCCCTTGACTGTAATCAAACCTGGGACCCTTCAGTCCACAAGCCAGTACTCCAATCACTGAGCCAAACTGGCTGGGACGAGTTGACTCTTTTTAATCCCAACATGTGAGGGGTATGCTTATTGAAAAGAGCCAGGATTACAGATGAGGGACTTTGAAATTCCAAATGTATACTGTTGTAAATGACAGATAAAACTTTTTTATAATAGACTAGAGGCCCGGTGCACAAAAATTTGTGCACTCAGAGGGGGAGGGGGGACCCTCAGCCCGGCCTGTGCTCTCTCGCACTCTGGGACCCCTCAGGGGATGACCACCTGCTGGCTTAGGCTGGCTCCCCTGGGGATTGGCCTAAGATGGCAATCAGACATCCCTCTGGCAGCCCGGCAGCCCTCGGGGGATGTCCACTTGCCAGCGGGGAGCAGGCCTAAACTGCAGTCGGACATCCTTAGCGCTGCTGAGGAGGCAGGAGAGGCTCCCACCACCACCGCTGTACTGGCAGCCATCAGCCTGGCTTGTGGCTGAGCAGAGCTCCCCCATGTGGGAGCTCACTGACCACCAGGGGGCAGCTCCTGCATTGAGCATCTGCTCCCTGATGGTCAGTGTGTGTCATAGTGACCAGTCATTCCCAGTCTTTCTGCTGTTAGGGTCAGTTTTCGTATTACCCTTTTACTATGTAGGATAGAGGCCTGGTGCATGGGTGGGTGCCAGCTGGTTTGCCCTGAAGGGTGTCCTGGATCAGGGTGGGGGTCCCACTTGGGTGCCTGGCCAGCCTGGGTGAGGAGATGATGGCTGTTTGCAGCTGGTCACACCCCCTTCAGGGTGGGGGTCCCACTTGGGTGCCTGGCCAGCCTGGATGAGGGGATGATGGCTGTTTGCAGCTGGTCACACACCCTTCAGGGTGGGGGTCCCCACTGGGGTGCCTGACCAGTCTGGGTGAGGGGCTGAGGGCTGTTTTCAGGCTGGCGGGTGACTGAAGCTCCCAACCTCTCCTTTTTTCCTTTTTTTTTTTATTCTGGGATTTATTTACCTTCTATGGTTGTCACTGGAGCTGAGAGCGGCTTTAGCTCTGAGGCTCGGCTCCAGCTCTGAGACCTCGGCTGCTGAAAGCAGGTATCTGGGTTTGTTTGGGTTCTATAATTGTAACACTGTTGTGGTCCTGCTCGCTCCAGCTCTGACAGCTGAAGGCAGGTTTCTGGGGTTTGTTTAGCTTCTGTAATTGCAACATTGTTTCTTAGAGTGCAAGCTCAGAGGCCGGCAGCGGCAGGCAGGGAATGTTGGCTTCCTCCATCACTGGAGCAAGCAAGCCTCCTGTTTGCTTCAGCTGCCTGGCTGCTGGCCGCCATCTTGGTTGGCAGTTAATTTGCATATCTCACTGATTAGCCAATGGGAAGGGTAGTGAAGTTACGGTTAATTACCATGTTTCTCTATTATTAGATAGGATAATAACAACGATCAAAGTAGTTTCAACTTGAATTGACTTATCTACTGTAGTGTTTACTAATATCCACCAAAATAATTCAGCACTTTTCTCTTATTCTCAACCTCTGTAGTTAAAGCTTAGGTGTATATACTTCAGGGAGTGGCAGACTTGGAATCAACTCTGAGATTGCTCAGTGAGAGATATCAGTCATAGGTTCTTTGGAGAATTCTGGGCTGTGCCAATCAGAATTGGCTTATTTGGGGATGTGGAATCAAGCTCCAATTGGGAAGGGAGGAAGGAAGGAGGTCCTCAGAGGTGAAACTCTTCAGGCCTGGACACCCACGGGGTCGGGAGGAGCACTGCGCAGCCTTTGGCGCTGCACCCTTGTGGCTGGGAAGGCCAGCAGGGCTCAGACCTTTGGCTTCTGTATCATCTGTAGTCATATATAATAAAAGCCTGATGTGCAAATTGTCCCTTTGGGCAGTCGTTCGACTGCTCACTGTGACATGCGCTGTCCACCAGAGAGTGGCCCAGGACATGATGGGCGTTGGTGACCCGGTGCTGGCAGTGGGCAGCAATGAAGGCGCTGCCAGCTCCAGTGGGCCCCCATGACAGTGGGACTGTGATGGGATGGTGGAGCAGGTGAGTGGGTGGTGCCAAGCTAAGGTGGGTGCAAGTGGGGGCTGATCTGTGGGGCAATTGGTGACCAGCCGGGGGGCGTGGGGCCAGCTCCCAGTTGCTGAGGGAGCCAGGTGGGTGGCCTGGCCCCAACCGATTGCCCTGCAGATGGCAACCAGCGGCAGCGGTGGGGGTCACCTCAGCACCTGGGAGCTGGACCATAATTATTTTATTTTCAGTGTGCATGAATCCGTGCACCGGGCCACTAGTGTGGGAATAAAACTGAAACTTCTTCGTGGGGCTGTGCAGTGATGTTTGTGAAACATCATTCTTCATGTATTGTGGAAAGTATTTGTCATGACTATTAAAAATGGGATATGTATATTCTCACATTTACTGAAGAAAAGCATTTATTTGAAAATATATATTTCTAATATCACAGCTTAATAAGAGACATGGTTTTTTCCCCCAAGGTCATTGCTCTTTATTTTGTAAAGCTGTGTCGTGCGGACAGGACCTCCCTCAGCAAGAGAGAGGCTGTGGCCAGTTCTCAGGCTGATAGGGCCTCAGGGGAGAGATGTCCCAGCTCATGCTCAGGCTGAGCCCTTCACCACTGGAAGTGAAGTTTCAGTGTACACGTATGGTGGACATCAACAACAACGGTCCTGAACATGGATGCACATTATATTACAGCCGTCTACTCCATCAGTATGCTTGAAGCTGCCGCCACTGGCCAGATGTCATGCCAGGCTTCTAGCCCTTTGGGGAATTACTGACTCTGCCAATCTCACCTCGTCTCCGCTTTACCCTGGGCACCGTCCCTTTCCTCAGCTCTGGAAAGTCCAGCACTGAAACAGGGTTGTCCCCACATAGGAGGGAGTTGCCCATCAGTGATGACTATTGCCCTTATCCCGTCCTCCCCACTGTACCCCCCCCTCCCCAGGACACAGACACCTTATAGTGGAGCTTCTGTTTGTGGTTACACTGGAGAGGCAGGGCAGGGGAAGCTATGCTGCACAAACTCATTATTACGCTAAATATTTTGAAACAGAAGTGTCTCAAATATATGTTGGCGCGTAGATGAAAATTACCACCTTGTTCAGTGGCTCCCCCTGCAGGTTCCATTCTCTTCAGCTCTATTGAAATGAAGCCTTGCCCTAACCGGTTTGGCTCAGTGGGTAGAGCGTCAGCCTGTGGACTAAAGGGTCCCAGGTTCGATTCTGGTCAAGGGCATGTACCTTGGTTGTGGGCACAGCCCCAGTAGGAGTGTGCAGGAGGCAGCTGATCCATGTTTCTCTCTCATGGATGTTTCTAACTCTCTATTCCTCTCCCTTCCTCTCTGTAAAACATCAATAAAATAAATTTTAAAAAAGAAAAAAAAATGAAGCCTCATGCTCAAAATATGGGACAGACTACACTTATTTAACCTTGAAGTTAGGGAAGCAGAGCCATGACCTCTTCACTTGCTGCCCCTTTGCGCAGTAGTCACATCAGATTCCTCTGTAGAGCAATGAAGACCATGTTTGGAGAACTGCAATATGTTTTGTGTTGCTTCTTGCAAAAACAAAAAACTCAGTACTTCCAAGTTAATGAAAAGTTTATTTACTCAGTATAACAGAATGTGACAGATTTAGAAAAATATTTTCTGAAATATCATGAAACTTTTTTTTATAAAAAAAAATAAAAAGCAGTCTATGCTACTCTCTAATATTGCTTTTTTTCTTTGTTGTACATTTGAAGCTTTTGAATAGGTATTATGTTCACAAAGACTTAAAAATAAACAATGGGTCTGGGTTGGCTCATGGAATGCTTTATTTTTTATGCAGCTATAGACTTACATCCTTGGTATGGATGTGCCAGGATTAGTCGCTGGTCCCGGATTCATGGACATTTGGTTGTTTCCCATTTGAGGCACTAAACGCAATGGTGCAGTAAAAACCTCGGGCCTGTGTTGTGTAGCACATGTGTTTAATTTCCAAAACAGTTTTGCTGGGTCAGGAGTATGGACATTTCCCATTTTGAAAGCTATTGCCAAGTGCTCCTTGTGGGGCTGTGCCTGTTTCCTCTCTTACCACCAGCGAATGGTGGCACCTTCCCCCACAGCACTTATCAAATGCTTGGATTTTTGCAATTTGATAAGTAAAAACACTATCTGTGTGACTTCAATTTGTATTTCGCTTATTTGACTGAAGTTAAATACCTTTTTATATATTCAAGAGGATTTGTGTTTCCTTCGGTCAGAGTTGCCTGCTGACATCTTTTATCCGTGTCACTGGTGGGTTGTGGACATGGGGCCTGTGCTGTGATAGGAGCTGCGGGTACTTCTCTCAATTTGCACACAGCCTTGGACTTCAGTAGCGATGGCTTTAGTGTTTTGCTACAGACGTTGCTGGTCTCTGTTAGTTGAAGTTGCCCATTTTTGCTTTGCTTTTGTGGCTTCTGGATTTTGAGTCTTGGCTACAAGGCCCTTCTTCATCCTGAGATCATAAAGGAAGGCTCGCGGGCTCCCAGTCATGCGTGACCGGCTCCGTATCAGTGAGGGCTTTGATCTGCTGGGCGTGTGTCCTGGTGTCATGGGAAGGGTGCATCAGCTCTAGGGCGTCATTGCTTTAAGCATGGCTCCCTGTGCCCACAGGCCAGGTAATGAATATCTGACTGTTTCTTCTTCTTCCATGGTTTCCAAGGTCCACAAGGTTGGCAGCTCTTGCAGAAGCCTTGAAGGAAGCCCCCCTGACAAAGGCCCAGCTGGGGTTGGAAGTGAATGAACTGGAGGCAGCTGCACTGCTCGTCTGTGAGGAAGAAGCAGCCCGCCCCGCCTCCAGGCCAACACCACCCTCCAGTTCTGAGGCCAGTGGCTCCGAGGACTCTGACAGCAGCACCTCCTCAGCCGGGACCGCAGACCCAGACTCAGAGCCAGAGGGGCTCGCAGGCAGGGGAGCCAGGAGAGGACGGTCCTTGCAAGGCCCCGTTCTTGACGAAAGCCGCGCCCTGCTTGTTGATGGCCATGGGCTGTGCGGACGCTTGGCTGTCCCAAGGGCTGATGCCTGTCGGGGAGAGCTACTGGCCTCAGCGCGGGCCTCTGGGGGAGCCAGGCCTCTGATAGAGGAGCTTGGAGAGCAACTGGAGACGGCGGTGCAGCTCTCAGCGCCCGAGGGTCCCGCTCCGGGGCCCCGCAGGGCACAAGCAGACGGCGCCCTCCCAGGGACGGGCGGTGAGGGTTCCATTTGTGGGTGAGAATGTCAGGTGTGGTTTTAGTTACTGACTGAGAATTCTTCACTTTTACTTGTACTTTTTCTTAAAGTATACAACATAGTTTTTTAATGAGCAATGTTGGTAACTTTTAGTTTCCTTCCTGCTGCTTTAAAAATAAAGTTCTGAAGTACTTATACCAAAGTATAATTAGTATCTGAAGATGGAAAACAATAGTTTTGCCAGAATCCCTTGAATGTGGAGCCATTAATATCTTCAAAAGCTTTACCAAGATATATTTGACATGCAATAAGCTGCACACACTTCAAGAGTACGATGCAATCGGCATTGACACATGCACCAAATCAGTCATCTTTGCGATTAAGAGACTGTACTTACCTCAGCTCCAAGTGTACTCATGGTGCCCTGGCGCCCACCCCACCGCTCTCCCAATAAAGTTGTTATGAATATTTCTGTGCAAGCTTTTGTGTGGACATATGCTTATTTCTCTTGGGAGTGGAATGACTGAGCAGTCATGGTAAGTGTATGTTTAACAATTTAAACAACTGCTAAACTGCTTTTCAAAGTGGCTATACCATTTTACGTTCCCACTAGCTGTGTATAAGAGTTATAGTTCTTTCACATTCTTGTCATTACTTGGTATGGTCAGCTTTTTAAAATTTTACCATTTTAGTAGGTATGCAGCTGTATCTCATTGTGGTTTTAATTTGCCTATTTTAAGACTTACAATGTTGAGCATTTTTTCATTGTGTACTTGTCATTCACATATCTTTGGTGAAATGTCTGTTCAAATCTCTTGCCAGTTTTTTTCTAATCTTTATTGTTCAGATTATTACAGTTGTTCCTTTTCCCCCCCATGACTCCCCTCCACCTGGTTCCTACCCCACCACCTACCCTTACCCCCCTCCCACAGTGTCCTTGTCCATAGGTGTACGATTTTTGTCCAGTCTCTTCCCACACCCCCACACTTCCTTCCCCCCGAGAATTGTCAGTCCCCTCCCTTTCTATGCCCCTGATTCTATTCTATTCACCAGTTTATTCTGTTCATCAGATTTTTTATTCACTTGATTTTTAGATTCACTTGTTGATAGATACGTATTTGTTGTCACTTTGTTGTTCATAATTTTTTATCTTTACCTTTTTCTTCTTCTTCCTCTTCTTAAAGAATACCCTTCGGCATTTCATATAATACTGGTTTGGTGGTGATGAACTCCTTTAGCTTTTCCTTATCTGTGAAGCTCTTTATCTGATCTTCAATTCTAAATGATAGCTTTGCTGGGTAGAGTAATCTTAGTTGTAGGTTCTTGGCATTCATCACTTTGAATATTTCTTGCCACTCCCTTCTGGCCTGCATAATTTCTGTTGAGAAATCAGCTGACAGTCGTATGGGTACTCCCTTGTAGGTAACTAACTGTTTTTCTCTTGCTGTTTTTAAGATTCTCTCCTTGTCTTTTACCCTGGGCATTTTAATTATGATGTGTCTTGGTGTGGTCGTCTTTGGATTCCTTTTGTTTGGGGTCCCTGGACTTATAAGTCTATTTCTTTCACCAGGTAGGGAAAGTTTTCTGTCATTATTTCTTCAAATAAGTTTTCAATATCTTGCTCTCTCTCTTCTGGCACCCCTATAATTCGGATGTTGGTATACTTGAAGTTGTCCCAGAGGCTCCTTGCACTATCTTCATATTTTTGGATTCTTTTTTCCTTTTGCTTTTCTGGTTGGGTGTTTTTTACTTCTTTGTATTTGCCTTGATTCTTGGGATCCTCTAATCTGCTGTTGGATCTCTGTATATTATTCTTTATTTCAGTCAGTGTATGCTTAATTTCTAATTGGTCCTTTTTCATATCCTTGAGGGTCTCACTATATTTCTTGGAGGTTTCTAGAAGATTCTTGAGTAGCCTTATAACCGTGGTTTTGAACTCTATATCCAGTAGTTTGCTTTCCTCCATTTCTTTCATTTGTGACCTTTTTCTTTGTCTCCGCATTTTGGCTGCTTCCCTGTGTTGATAGAGTGGCTTTGTGTGGTAGGTGTCCTATAGTGCCCAGTGGCTCAGCCTCCCTAATTACCTGAGGTGGACACTCTTGGTGCACCCCTTTGTGGACTGTGTGCACAGTCTTGTAGTTAAGCCTTGATTGCTGTTGGTATCACTGGGAGGAATTGACCTCCAGGTCAATTGGCTGTGAGGACCAATTGTGTCTACAATGGGAGAACTTCTGTGCTGGAGACACCCTTATGGGGTAGGCCTTGCTTCAGTGGGGCTTTGGCACTCACTGAGCCTGCCCCCTGAGTGTGTCTCTTATGGATGTGAAGCGTTGTAATCTGGATGGTCTCACTCTGACCACTGGATAGACTGGCTCTTGGATCTCCAAGGAGGTGCAAAGTCAGCCATGGCCTGAGACCACCCAGCAAGAGCTACAGAGAGATCTGCAGATTCCTCCTCTTTGTTTGGGGTTTGGGGGTGCCCAGATGAGGTACAGCTGTGAAGCAATGCAGGCTGCTGGTGAGCCTTAGGCCTTCTTTTGGAAGCTCTGAGGTTCTCTGACCCAGCTACAGTTTGATAGGTTTTTAGGTGGAGAAAGGCCAGGCCATTAGTATGCAAAAGCCTCTGCACAGAGCTTGGGTGGGGTTGTCAATTGTGTGGGACGAGGTCTCAGGGAATCACCAGGCGGTGCAAACAGCAATGGTTGCCGTCGGCTCTGCCCCAGATAGGCCCCTGGGTCTCTGTGTCCCGTGGCCCCATGCAGGAACAGTGAACACTACAAGCACCTCTGCGAGAAAGCCGCCCTCATGTTCCGGCCCGATGCCAGACAGTTCAGTTTCTCTCCGTATGAGTCTGGGTCCCCAAATTCTCACCCATAACTGGAGTTCAGAGCAGTTGGGAACTTGTATCTCCCTCCCGGTTGAAAAAGACAACAGCATACCCAGCTGCCAGCCCCTTTCGCGTGCCTCTGTACCTTCATCCACACTTCCACACCTCTGCACCTCCTACCAGACTCAGTGTGCTTTTCTCTTTCCTTCTAGTTGTAGAATTTTCACTCAGCCAGCCTTCCCATGGTTCTGGATGATACTCATTTTGTCTTTTAGTTGTAGTTTTAATGTGGTTATGCGCAGCAGCAAATTCAGGTGTTTACCTATGCCGCCATCCTGGTTCCCTATCTTGCCAATTTTTTTAAGCTGGGGTTGCTTTCTTATTTTTGAGTTTTGAGAGTTTTTTTTATAAATTCTGGATACAATTGCTCAATAGGAGTGATCTTTGCATGCCTTGTAATTTTCTGTTGGAATGCAGACATTGTGAAATCTATCTCATTGGGTACTGGGTATGTATTACAAATGTTCTTTACTTTTGTTTGGGGATGCAGTTAAGTTACTTGGAAATAGTTTGATCTTTATGGGTCTTGCTTTTGTAATTTATAGGCAGGCCTGGAAGAGGGCTCAGTGTGGGACAAGCTATGTCACAGGACTAAGGAAAGAGTTTCCCATGCCCTATGAATTATGAATTTTCCCATCTATCTGGTGGGAGCAGGTACCTGTGTAAGTGCTCAGTGCTGTTCCAGCCTCATTGCATGCTCATCAGCAGGTGTCCTCTGGAGTGTGCAGGGACCTCTCCTGACACCAGGCCAGTATCAGGAGAGGTCCCTCTACAGCTCTCTGCAGCTGTCTCCTCTCGGTGCTCTGACCTGCCATTTCCCGCTGCCTTGCTCTCCCTGCGCCCTCGCCTCTGTCCCCTGCACCCCAGTCCATGGCTTCTGCCTGGGTTGCCCCTCCCTGTGCAGCCTGGACAGTCCCTCAGGGCAGTGGGTGAGCCTCACGAAGTTTGTTTTCCACCCCACAGGATCACTATCTTTTGTTGCCTGATGTCCATTGGTTTGTGTGTTATTTCTGTTTTTCTTTTTTGGTTATTTCAGTTGGGAGAGTAAATCTGGTCCCTGTTACTCCATCCTGATTGGAAGTGTAAATGTCCATTAATATTTTCTCATTTGAGTGTTAGCTCATAGGGAGTGGGGTCTATGTTGTGGTTTGTTACCGCTAAATCATCAATGCCCATGTTCTTGGTGCTCTCTATAAATATCTGTTGAATGAATTAAATAAACCAGTTTGCTTTGGGGAGGAAATGATATGCATTAATCTCAGTAGCATTTTTATTTCAAGAAAGGGTGTGACACTTTTACTCTGGGTTATGCAGGCTGAGTGTTTGTATTCCCAATATAAATTCCAGTTTGTCTTAACAGTCTAGTTGGGGTGACTGCCATTTGGCACGTGTGTAAGCTCCTGAATACCAACAGCATGTCAGAACGTGCTCAAGGCTTTTCTCAGGGCCCTCGATCACCCCGCCAGCCGCCCCACAGATCAGCCCTGATCACCACCCAGGCCTAGGGACCCTACCTGTGCATGAATTTCATGCACTGGGCCTCTAGTAAAAATAATAATTTTTAATACCTAGGTATTTTGAAATAACAGGATACTGAAACATTAATTAATCTGAGTTTGCCTCATATGGGGAATCTAGAGGATGGATTTGAATCTATTAATTGAGTATGTCTTGTATTTCATTTGAAATATATCCTTAAAAATGTGAATGTATTACTAATCTGAGAAATGCTAAGTAACAATTGCCACCTAAAATTTGAGGCTTCTAAGAGTTAAAAGTTCAAATTAAGTTGGGATAAATTATATGGTTGTGATAGTAGAATGCATGAAGTATGGAAATTCATTTTTGAGGAAAATCTTGCGTTTCCTCTGGTATGTGTTTGTGTATTACATGTGGTAAATTTTCAGCTTCCGGATGGCATTACTAGGATATATTTTATTGGCCCTATTAAAAAGATATTAAATACTTATAAATAAGCAGAGTTCTGTGGTCTGGACAAAATTTTTAATATTAAAACCGGTTTAAGTTTGATTAATGTCTTTTAGAGTTATTACCATAAAATATATCTTTTTTCCTAGATTTTCAAAGAGTTTATGATATAATCTTTTGGTTAAGTATATTTGACAATCTTTCAAAAAGTTAAAATGTTAAGACTTTAACCAAGAGATGACTTTGAGTCATTCCAATGGGCCCTGGAGTAACTCAAGGATTTATTCTCTCTTCTTAAAAGAAATACTTTTGAACTAAATTAGGCCGATTTAATATACTTGACATTACATGGGAAGCTTTGTCAAATAGAAATTAATAAATATGTTCTATTTATGTATGCATATATTTTGTTTAAATGAATGTTATAGAAATTTCAGTCTGCTTCAGAAAGGAACTTGCAAAGATTCAGAACCAAGTTCAAATAGGAAACTCTCAGGGGGGCGGGCATGTGTCCAGTCAGGGACACCAGGCAAGCCAAAGTGATGGTTCCCTGTGGGGCGTCTGCCAGTGAGTGATACTCTGGGTATTTGCATTTCACATATTCGGAGTTTATGAATTATTTTCAATGCTCAATACACCGTTTGCAATAAGCCATGTGTCCCA